GCGTTTTTTTGGCATGACTTAGTATGATGATGAACTTGAAGTGATTTTAACTAAATAATGAAGATCATGGTCACTTTGTTCATTAAGAATTTCTGTAGAAACATATCTGTCAATAAATGCACTAGCATCTTCTTGACCTTGTTCAGTATCTAAATCAGGTGCATTGAAAACCCATACAAACATATGAATATGTGGACTGCCTCTCATTTGAAACTCAATTCTCATGAAATAATCASTGATTTCTCCAAGTGGCTTGGCCTTCCCCTTTAAAATATGTTTCATAAAGGCATTCTTACGCCTATTTTAATATTAAAATTTTAAATTTAAATTAAATTAATTTAAATTTATATTTTGAAAAGTATTTGGCAACTAAAACAGGATTTTCTCTCATTAATTTCCATTTCTCAGATTTTCTAAGTTTGTCAACATCAGTTTTTGGTGAAAGAGTTTTGAATAATTCAGGCCATTGTAAATCAGCAGCTGATAGAGTTATGAACCAGGTTGGTGGACCAAGGGTATAAATCTTTGCTAATAAGTTTAGAAGTTCATTCATCCAATAAGCTGGCGTTCCTCTAATTTGTCTCATGAAGACATAAGAGTCCTCTATAAGATCAGCATTTTCATTTTTTTTAAGTCTCCAGCAGTAATTTTGCATTTCTTCTCCTTCTGAATATTACTTCTCATTCTAAGTACTACTGATACACAATCACTTTCTAGCTTCATAAATTGAATTTGCAAAAAAAAAAAAAAAATATGAAATATCAGCTGAAAATCGTCTATCAATATTCATCAACCTCGACTGAAAATATTGTAAATCTGTTACTTTTGGATTTCTGCATGTTGTAAATCCATTTTGTCCATATGGAAATAACCATGGAAATACTAGTTCTTCTATTGGAACAGATATTTTTCTAAAATATTTATTGGTGGTGATTTAGAATTATTCATTGTGTATGTTTGGACANTTCGAATTGGAGGGATTTCACAACTGAAAGACACTTCGTTTTTTAGGCACATTATGTGAGATTCCAGGTTTCGGGGAAGGAGAAGGTGAGACACGAGCATGCTTTTTTGACTCGCTCTTGTGGTGTTAACGACGATACTCTTGCTTTCATTTGAATGACTTTCAAGTTTTCTCGTGTGGAATCCCTTGCAGTTTCAATCATGTCTATAAAACAGTCCAGATCTTCCCAGGTCAATCCAATCTTCTCGATCGTCTAAATACTTCATTGAAATTTCTTTGCCACGGAGACTCGGTAATCTTTCCAAATTTTTTTCCATTAACGAAGGGAAGTCTAGCGTTTTTACTTCTAGTGAACTCAAAAACAATTTTGCACATCTTTCCCTCGCTCCACTACCAAATCTAAGTTTGAACTCGTATCTTACGTTATCCATATTGGTGATGTCTTATACTGCATCCACTGAAGAATGACAGCAAGTGTCAACGAATGTAGGTGTGTCTGTACAACAAAGTAGGCGTGGTTGTAATACAAAAATTCGGGCCCATTCCACAGTTCGGTTATTTTCGTAGTAATTCGGATTAGGAAACTCAGTTATTTTGTTTTGTTTTATAAAAGAATGGAATATTAAGCATTATAGATACATGATCTTTTCCATTTAAACATAAGTATATGGCCAAAAGAGAGAACAATTCTTGTAAACGTCCGCCATCTTGGAAACCGCCAATGGCTGTGGAACCTGGGCCAAGCCACAGGAAACCCATCAAGAGCGAAATTTCCCGCCAATATTAATATCATCTAGAATGGTTATTTAATGCAAGCGCCAATTGGCTGATAATTGTTACTTTTACACCAATCAGAAAAAGCGTTTTATCAATTCATATCGGTTCCAGGTCCCCATCGGACATTTTTATTAACGCCTCGTTTTTATGAAAGCGAAAAGGCTTCGCATCGATGCCGTTGTTTTGTCAAATTAATACTTACTTTGAAATACTGACTGTAATGACTGTAAATAATGACTGTTGAAATACGATAAAAACAATACTCAAGCCATAAGCAAAGATAGGTAACACATATATATATTGATTTATTTGACAAATTATGCGGGATTATGCGGAGAATGGCCGATTATGCGGGTCCGCATCAGCGCATAATTCCAGAATCCCTGTAGTCAGTTGATGGTAATGCAAGTTGTTCTTCAAAGTCGTTAGCAACACTGATTGTCGTTGTGTTCCCCTTGTGTGTTAACATAAACTTCTTTAGTCACTGTGTTCTTCTTAACTCTAATGTTTTGGAAAATATGTCTTTCCCTCTTCTATATTCAGGCATTCTGATATAGTGCGGCAAAAAAGTCAAAATTATGCGGAATTTTAACATCGAATTATGCGGTAAAAAATTATGCGGCAAAAATTCCCGATTATGCGGCAAATTGCGCAATATTGCGAAATCATTTTCTCATGTTTTCTTTTTGTGTTTTAATTTTTTGTCACATAAAAATCCTTTTTTATGATTCTATGGCATCTATTGTCCATCTTAATTAAAATAACAGTCCAATGACCTTTTTTTGCTTTAAGTTTTAATTCCTGGCTTGTTTTAAAGTATTGTCACATCTTTTGCATTGTATAATGACAATATGGACATGAAGACTACCTTTTAAAACATGTCACCCGTAGTAAAAATTATTTTGCATGTATTGTGACTGGGTGTGGTCATAGCATGTTACATCACTTCTCGAAGTTATGATAAATATTTCTTAATTCAAAATTTTTCAATGTCAACAAAACTACTGGTGAACAACAAGCGTTTTCAAGCAGTGTACCAAGACATTTAATTAGTACAAAGTGTCTGGTAGAACCTCAAGTTCTAGTAAGAAAAGAAAAGTCTGAAACTATTTTCGACTTTTTTTCAAGAATTTGTAAACTTGTTCGACTTCTGATAGTTCTGGGATGGTAAACGGGCCAACACCAACAATGCTACAAGGGCCGTAGAACACGCAAGATACGTGACAGGTGTCTTTGTCATCGCGTACAGGCCAATTGAACCCTGACGAATGTAAAAACTTGAAATCTACAAAGGGATATTCTCTGATGCTGAGGGCCCTTCCAAAGTAGAATGACTTCTACAGCATAATTGCTCCCTTCAATGATAGTTTCAGAGGCGAAATCATGGAGCTTTTGCTCATGCAACTCAATTGACATCTGTTTCCTAAAAGACGAGATTGACTCGCTTGAGACCATTGGTGATTGGAGCAAGAGACTTCTTGCATGAAGAGCAATGTACACGCCACAATCGAACCCATTTTGCTGTTGTGGTACATCCTGTGACAAAGTGCAGTGAAAACTCCATTCCCTCAAATCAAGGTCCTCGTCATATTCTTTCGGGAGTTTCCACATCTTGTTGATGGCCCTTTCAGCAGTCGTTTTGGTAGATGAACTTGACAAGCTATCGAGAGCTGAGATTTTCTTCTCGAGCGGCAGTGCAACAAAAAGAAACCAGTGCATACTGTTACCAGGATTGCATGGCACCAAAATAGCGTCTTGATCAAGCATTGAGCCTTTATCCTTTAGGACTTTCTTGGTGGGCTTTTTTCCTATTGCTCTTTTGAATTTCTCCCACTCGGTCGTTTTTACTTTTAGACCCTTTGCTATACTTTCAGAGGCCAATAGGTCGAGATATTTATCAATAGCAAAGTTAGTTAGATAATTATCTATATCAGACATATGGCCTCCAATCAAAGAAATTATATCTTTCTTTTCCATGAGGTTGTCCCCTCTTAACTTAACGGAACCTTCAAGCAAGCTGCTTAGTAGTGGTTGTTTTACATCACTGAAGATACAGGAGGTCTCCTTTTGGAACCTTGCTGAAGTATTGGCATCTAARCCACTTCGTATTTCTGCTGCTACATCTACATTCTGCTGTTGCAAAGTGGGGGATGGATCACAGCGTTTGTTACAGGGCAGTTTTGATGAATCAGATACATCTTTTATGAGTGAAGATCTAAACAGCCTACCACCAGTCAAACCTYTAGATGTTTTTGTCTTTTTCTTCGGGGAATTTCCAGAGGTATCATGAGAGCCACACCTTTTTCTACTCCCTTAACATAAAAGATATTAAATAAAGAAATGATTATTGTTTTACTAAAGTGAAAACATAACTAAAGACAGACAGATGATAAAAAGAAACTTGCTATCTTGAGCACTTATGCAAACAACATTTTATTTAAATTAATTTTTTCTTTTTATGTTTTGCCTGAGAAGGACCATAAGGTGATCTACAAGTATTCAAACCAGAGTTGCTGCCTGAGGTCGGGCCTCCACGTACACCAGGGCTGCTGTTTGAACAAGAGTTGTTACCTGATTGTCGGGCCTCCACGTACACCAGGGCTGTTGTTTGAACCAGAAGAGTTGCTGCCTGAGGTCTTCCCTACACGTACACCAGGGCTGCTGTTTGAACCAGAAGAATCCTTGGGGTTGTTCATCTCGAGTTCTTTTGAACACTTAATCTTCAAGTTCCAGTTAAGGAAATGTAATGCTCCAATGGTGTTTTCATCAAGTCTCCTTCTCTTATTATCGAGGATGTCGTTGTAGCAAGAAAATGATCTCTTGACATCATACGATCCAATAGATGTTGTTGCGTAACTTGATGCCAGCCTGTACAGCTCCGGGAGCACACAAGCATTTGACTTCTAAATCTTTAGAAGATCTAACAGCAGTAGGACCAATTTGGTTTAAGTAGAGATGCCATTCATCCTTTGGAACCTTTTCAAAACCAGGAAAACTATGTCCTATAAGTTATAACTCAGAGAAACAAGATTTGTGGGATCTAGTACGCGTACTTGTGCCAAGAACTTTAAAGCTGGTTGC